ATCTTGTAAATTATTGACATTTTTAAAGATATAAGCTCACTTTGTCATTACACTCATCGAGACCTTTCATTTGAGTACCCACATCAATTTTTCATATATTTATAAATATATTATATATATGTGTATATGAAAAATATATCAAAAATGCATGTGGGTACTCAAATGAAAGCCCTTGATGAGTGTAACATCAGGATGAGCTTATATCTTAAAAACGTCAATATTTAAGAAAGTACAGTGCAATTTAACAAAATTCATTATTTAATAAAGCAAAATTTTATTTATTTATAGTTCACAAGTTACGTCAGTCACATAATGACTGCAAGGTTGCTGGTATTGTATAAAATATTCAACAAATTAATTACTCATTAAAACGCTTTTTTTTTTTCTTCGAAAATCATTTTTTCTCTAAGTGTAACTGTTACTTACAACTAATTAAAATAAATAAATAAGATAAACACTTGATTGTGAAATGAACCATCTTACTTTAACTCAGTGAATATATTTATAAATTTGAAGATCTCTTTAACAGCCACCACTAAAATATTTCTTACTAATATTTCTCTTGGTAATAAAAAAATTTTTACCATCAATTTAATAATATATATTTTCGTCGCTTATAAATGAAATAAAAATAATGAATAAGCTTTCGATTGCACGTAATAGCTTAATAACAACAATAATGTTTTAATCACAGTTATTTTTACAATAATTAATAATTCAAGAAAGGAATCTAACGCTTAAAAATCTGTAAAATTTGTTATTTTATGCTAGAAAAATTAATTTTCAACGATATAAACGTCAGTATATATTGTAATTATGAAAACTAATAATTTATATATTTTCAAAAATAATATTTCGGTTTTCCGTTTTATGATTGACTGATATTATTGAAGACTCTGCATTTAAAATTATTATTAATTAATAAATCAATAAAAAATGTGATAAATTATTTATGCGAGACATTAGGTAGGATTCGTAACTCCAAAGGTTTCAGAATTCGTAATAATAATTATAGGTAAATAGATAAAAATATTCATTTTGTATTTAGACTTAAAAAACTTAAAAAATTGGAATTTAATTAAAAAAAATGATCAGATTGTGTATTGGATGGTAGAAGAAAGTTAAAAACTAGGATTTTTTTATTATTATCCTTTTCCATAGTAATAGGCCATTCGAAAAATTAAATATTATTTATTATTTATGCTCCTTCTGTTCCCTCGTATAAATTAAAGGAAATTATCAAATATTTAAAATGGTTTTTCGCCTTATCTTCAGTTAACTGTTTGTAAAATGGTTACAAAGAACACCAGCATTTACATTTAATATGCATATTACTAAAGCTGTTAACGTTAGCATGTCCCAAAAACCTTTTTTAATTAAAAAAAAAAAACATTTTAGCGCTATAGACAAATATTGCTAGATAATAATCGCGCTAATTTCTCCTCTGTACCCTTTTTTATAAATTTTAGGAGAATTTTCTTTCACAAACATATTCATAAAATTTCTTTATAATATACTCGTGTTTGATATACTTGCCTGTGACTCGTATGCCAACAAACACTCTTAGTATGTTATACTCAACTATTTTTAATCTATACAATACTTTTCTTACTTTAAAAAATTTTTAACGTATTATTTAATTCCATTTTTTTTTTTTTTTTTAATTAATACACTGAGAAAAATAAGTATTGCTTTTTTACATTTTTTATCTTCTTGCCAATTACATTTTTTATTTTCTAAATAAATTATAAATTGAAAGAATTAAGAAGAAGAAATTATTGTACACTAAGAGAAAAAATTTTTTTTGAAGAAAACGAGCAATGTTGTAATAATAAAATAATTTAGAAAATTTAAAAAAATTTTATTTCTTCACAGAAAAAATAAGAATTTTTATCACAATAATTTTTTTTATTAAAAAATGATTTTCTAAATTTGAAAAAAAATTTTTCTTCAAATCAAATAACATTTTTTTTAACAAAAAAAATACTGTGATGAAAATATTTAATTCTTCAAAGAAGAAATAAAATTATTTAAAATTTCCAACAAATTAATTTGTTATTAAAATACTGCTGATTTTTTTCAAAAGAAATTTCTTCTCTTATTGTATAAATTTTCCTGTAAAGTTTGTAAAATTAAAGGTAAATATTTACAAGTGGGATCAACCATTTTAATTTTCATTTTTTTGAACGAAATTTCCATTTGATTTTATTGATATATATTTTTTTTGAAAAATACATAAAAAAAATAAAGTTTAAAATTTATAAATTTTTTAGAAAATTGTTATATTCAACATTGTTTGTTTTTTTTATTTACTTTCCAAAAAAATATATCAAAAACATCAAAAGAAAATTAAATAGAAATTTTATCCAAAAACATGAGAGCCAAAATTTTTTCCAACTTTTGAAGGCAAGAAAGCTATCAAAATCTTTATTTTTTTCTTTCCCGACATTTTTTTATCATAAATGCGTAAAAACAAGCAGAATAAAAAAAAATTTTTAAATTTTAATTTTTTACCTAGTTATGGCCCAAAATGGGGTTGACCCCACTTGTAACTAATTACTAAATTAAATTATGAAAATCAAACATGTATTGAACGAAATTATATGCATAACATGTAACTTTATTAGTAAAGCGCAGTATTTTTAGCACGATCAATAGGTTAGTACGACCAAAAGTTCGCACGCCTACGAACTGTGCTAAAAACATTACGCCTGACTAAAAAGGACTTTGCGCACTAGTTGCGTAAAGTGTAATTTTACTTGCTCTTAACAGACAAGTATAAATTCTACCGGTACGAGTACGTCAAAAAAAAATTTATTTTTTCTCAGTGTACCTTGTTCATTTTTAATTCATCATAAAAAATAATATTTAATTATTTTTTTTCTAATAATAAAAAATTATTTTTTGTTTAATTTTTGTTTTGGTAGCAAAATAAAACTAAAAATGAGATAAATAAAAAAAATGAAGAGATCTAAAAACAAAAAAATCTGGACAATTATTAGAATTTGTCTGTTATAAATAAATTTGGCTGATTTGTAGATGAACGGGATGTGTGTATCACCTACAGCGGGAAGAAATGTATTGAGTGTCAGCGTTGAAAAATGTGGTGATAATAATAGTGATAGTAATGATGGTGTTAATCAATCGACAAATAATCGTACGTTAGCAATTGATGGAACATCAACATCTTCATTATCAGTTAATGATGATACTGGGTTATCGAGTATTTTTCGTAAATCTCCAATGGAATCGCGTCATCATTCCCTTCATCATCATCATCATCATTCACGTACTCATGGAATTAGAAAATTACAAAAATGTTTAAGTACGTCAGTAACTAACTACGAGACAGATATAACAGCTGGTTTATCATCAACATCAGCTCAACATTTTCACGGTGAAAATCGTAATTTAATATCTGCTAATCAAACTTCAATGGCTTCCCAACCAATTCTCAGCAACGTCAGACAATATAGCAGCTTTGGTATTGTTTTATTAATTTTAAATTAAATCCATTTCTTAAAATCCTATCGAGTTCTTTGTAAAGTTGCTATAAACAAAAGCAAAAACTACTTTTTAAAATATATCTCTATTAGATCATCATCTTAGATTATTCATGTGCTGGTTTTCACTTACTTTATGTCTCGTCACCATCAAATTGTAATAGTGTGCAATTAAATCCATATAATTTTCCAAAAAATTTCCTATATTGTATGCTTCGAACAATGTTTGCTCAATTGCTTCGTGATTCAACTATATCTATAACTTGTTATTCTTCTTCTTCTTCTTCTTCTTCTTATTCTTGTTCATGTTTTATTTGTTTTTCTCACGCTCTTTCTTCTCAAATATCTCTCAGCAATGTTGTGACAATGCACCACTAAATCTTAATCTTAATCTAGTTCGCACCAATTATATCTTCATTGTTCAGGTCAACTTTCTATTTTCCTTCAGATATTTTTATATAGGTTAGATTTTGTGTTAATTAGTGACGTTATCGGTTTGTGTTGTTTCAGAATTTTTTGCTTATTTTTTAAAGTTTTCAGAATTTTGAATTTAGTTCACTGGCTACTTAAAATACAAAAATTTTTTATCTTTCAGGCTTTTTTTTAATCAACCAAATATTTCTTAGATCAAATTATTACTTCAAAAAATTATTCAAAATCATTTATCAATTTTAGTAATTTTTTTATATTATTTTAGAATTTTTTTTTCAAGGTTTGTATCAAAGTGCAACTGATAGAAGGATTTAGTTTTATTTAATAAGATTTAGTAACAAACATTTCATTATCAAATATTTAGTAATAGATACTAAATCATTTATTAAAGCCCATTTAATTCTACCAAATAAATATTCAGTAGTATTTAACAAATTATCAAAAAAATCAATTTTTTAGCTTAAGGGGTTATACGCAGTTGCAAGGCTAAGAAAACAAAATTTTTTTATAAATTACAATAATGTAAAAAATTTTTAAATAGATTAAATTAAATTAAAATGAATAATTTTAAGTAAAAATATAAAGTATTATAAAGAAGAAAATTTTATTAAATTATAATTTTTTACTTGAGACATTTATAAAATTAAAAACAAGTTTTTAATGACACTAAAATTGACAGAGATTAACAATTTTTTTTTATAATTTTAGAGCAATAAAATTATTATGAAAAAATTTAATTAAAAAATTCATATGTGAAAATTAGAAAAAATTATTAATGAAAATTTTTAGAAGCATTTTTTTTATTGTAATTGATTTTTTATGAGCTTAAAAAATTGACAGCTGCCAGCTATTAATAATATAATAGTTTTTAACATATCAATAATAGACAAATTGAAAAATGTTAACTAAACTTCACTGAGCAAAAACATAAAAATAGAAGCCATTTATTGGGAGTATGTGTGTTTTCAAAGGGAAGATAAATCTCCCAATATCGAGCTGAATAAAATAATCTCAGTCAGTGAATAGATTATGTATCACATAAACATTGGAATTAAAGCATAGCCATCTACCGATAATACTTACCAAATCTTTATTAAAAAAAAAAAAAGATTTAAAACGATTCAACCCATGTAAAATGTATATCTATATATTTTTCACGTTGAATCTTTTTTCATCGCTTTGAGCCATTTCGAATCTTTTCAAATCTCTTTTTTTAATCAGGGAAAAAATATTTACCCAAGTGGCACAAAAATTTTTTTGGTAATATTTTGTTGAATTTAGGTTGACAATTATTTATTTTTGATTTCTTGTTAAATAAAATTTAACAGTTTTTTATGTGAAGCTTGGGAAGTACCTGTTACTAAAAATTTATTTCCATGTAATGTAATAAAGCTTTTTTTATATAAAGAAATCAGTTATCTATAACATTGACTTATCTTCAATTTTAGTATCGTTTACTAAATATTAACCCTTATATCTACTAATTTTTTATTATAAGCAGAGAACTACAGTATTTTAAACTCTGTACATTTTCCTTTATATTAAATAAATAATATTAAAAAATAAAGAAATCATTTATTAAACTGTAACAAATAATATTGATGGGTAAAAAATATTTGTTTCGCCTAAATAAATAAATAAAAATTTTGTTACTAAATCCTTCTATCAGTGATGTTATTTCTTTTTTTTTTTCTTATAAAAATTCATTAATTTGATTTAAAGTACTATTTTCAATTTTGAAGTAATGGAGAAACTATCAACATCGAATTTTTAAAAAATTCTATCAAAAAATACCTTCTAAGCCCAGATAATCTCTTGCGATTATCTACTTAGACACAATGAAGAAATAAAAATAGCTTTTCTATCTTTCAAACAATTTGATTAAAAAATTTTCTATTTTATTAATTTTAAGATTATACAACAAATATATTTTTATCTATTTTCTTCTTAGATAAAAAAAAAGAAAAAAAAAACAAACGTGGATATAATAAAATCCAAAAAATTCTAGCAAAATAAAAAAGTTAATTATTTTATCGCATGTGCATGCTGAATCGCGTGAAGACTACATGCCTTAAATGTTTTCCAAAGAAGAAACGAATTACTACATAACTATATATAATAATTTGATAATTATAATCACAATTAATTGTCTCGCAGTGCAAACTTCTAAGTCATTTTTTTTAATATCAATAGAATAAGATTAGACACATTATTATTGTTGTTATGACTGTGCTATTACACAAAATAATTATTTCAAACAAAAAAAAATTTTTTTCACAAAATTATTTATTTCTCTCACCAATTAAAAATAAATTTTCAGTTTATTTGTGCTATGAACGAGTTATTATTTTTTTTTTATTTTTTATTTTTTTTTGTTTTGCACATATTTTTGTATAATCGTAGACTGAAAAATCGGCATCAGGACTGAATAAAATATACGAATTTATTTTTCGGAATGCTGGCCGTGCAGATAAATTCGACAGTACATTCCAACGTTCAAGAAGTTCAAGCATGTCATCACTTGAAAATATTTCAACAGAAACCATCAGCTGCCTTACATTTGCCGATTGTTACACAAAAAAAACCGGTAATTTTTACTTAATAATTTTTATAGTACTTACTTAAATTTATATTCATTTTAATAATTGGATTAAAAATGTTTGTTTTAGATGTTACTGTTTTACCAACATTATGGATTGGTACTTCATCGGGTTCGATACAAACTGTGGTATTCAATTTACCAATACCTGAAGAACGTCAAACACAGCCTGTGATTATTTCTACATCTAGTACGTAAAATTAATAATTAAAATTTAATACTGAGAGACATCTGATAATTAAAAAAAATTTTTTTACTAATAAATTATAACAAGAAAAATTTATTTTAAAAATTCAATCTTTAGAAACTCTAAAAAATTATCAATCCAAATTTTTAAAATAATTTTTTAGACCTAGTTTATTATTGAAGAAAAATCAAAAAATTGTCAAGTGTCTGCCAATTTCATTGTATTATTATATTAATTACATTGAAAATTAGTATTGAAAAACTATAAAATAAAATTGAATGAACAAATTTATAGATGACATTGAAATAAGCAGACTTTTGATAATTTTTTTATATTTCTTGAATAATAAACTGGGTCTAGAAAATTATTCATAAAAAATTGCACTTATAATTTTTTAGAGATTCTAATGATAGAATTTTTTAAATAAATTTTTCTTGCTATGATTAATTAGTTAAAAAATTTCTAAAAATTGTCAAATGTCTCTCAATTTCAACATCATATTTATAGTTACAATTTTTATTATAAATTTTAATTATTTGTGTGTTTCATTTAGATGCATATACGTTTAAACTAAAAGGTTGTATTTTAACAATTTCATTTTTGGATTGTAATGGTGCATTAATACCATACTCCTATGAGTCATGGAAAGATGAAACTACTGAAGGTAAAGAACGTAACCGCGGTTCTAGAACGAATAGCCGTATGTCACCATTGTTAAATGCACAAACGTCAAACACAACGGGAGAAGGTTGTGATGATCGTCAATTTGTTATTTTGGTATCTGAGAAACAAGCTAGAGTTGTTGCATTGCCATCGCAAAATTGTGTTTACAGGCAACAATTGAGCGAAACTCATGCTGTTATTAAAGCGGAAATTACATCCATTAAAGGTAATTCTTTTTAATTATAGATTGTTAAAAATAGATGTATAATATTATTAGTCAATTTAATATTGATTAGTAAATCAAGTAACCTTTGCCAAAGTGGTTATCATAGCAACGAAAAGCGACAACAATGAAAAAATGAAGAGCCTCGATAAGTGTAACTCTAGGATGAGCTTATATCGTTAAAAATATCATCAGTAGACAAAATACAACGTCATTTCTTAATTACTGACATTTTTTAAGATATAAGCTCATCCTGATGTTACATTCATCGAGATCTTTCATTTGAGTACCCACACGATTTTTTCCATATATTTTATATATATATATATATATATATATGATATTTCTCATATTTATGAAATATATAAAATATATGAAAAAAATCGTGTGGGTACTCAAATGAAAGCTCTCGATGAGTCGAACTCTAGGATGAGCTTATATCGTTAAAAATATCATCAGTAGACAAAATACAACATCATTTCTTAGTTATTGACATTTTAAAAATATAAGCTCAACCTGATGTAACGCTTATCGAGACCTTCCATTTGAGTACGCGCTCATCATACTTTTGGAAACGGTAATATAACGCATTGTTTAACCTCATTATATTGTTTCAGATAATGTTTGTCTTGTTTGCTACGCCTCTAGCGGCCATATTTCAATTTACAGTCTACCAAGCTTAAGGCCTCTCATAGATGTTGATTTTCTACCATTGCAAGATCTCAGGTAAAAGAAGACAAACAATTTTATAAACCAACAAATTACTTTATTTATAGTTCAATTTATAACAAAATGATGATTAATTTTTTATTACAAAAAAAAACAAAATATTTTAGTAACATTAATAAGGCGAAAATTGCTGAGTTTTTAAATTGATTAATAGCATGAAAGCCAAATAATAACGATAAATTTATTTCTTATTATTAATTATTATTATCACAGTTATATGCACACTTTTAATAATTAAAATGCTATTGCAGGCATGAATTTTTCAATATAAATAGATATATTTTCAAAATAATATTGTCAAAGCACTACTTTTATGCACACTCAATGCTTTAGTTTAAAAAAATTTTAATTAAATATTAAAATATTTGAAGAGTTTTTTTAACAAAATTCATGACAATTTTAAATTTGAGAAAATAAAATAATAAATTAAAGAAGAAGAAATAATATTATTAAATATAATTAGTAAAATAAAATTAATTCATAAAAATAAATTTCTGTTCACATTTTTTGGTTGAAAAAAACAGCTACAACTCTTCAATTATTAAAAATAAAAAAATACAATTAACCATAATTAAATTATAATTATTAGCTTTAAAAAAAAATCATAAGTCATTCACGAAATTTCATGAGCATTTACCAGAGTTTCATATAAAATTAACTTGAAAACTTTTATTAAAAAGTATCATTTTATTTTACATACTTAATTTCAATCAATTAATTTTTTGCATAAAAAAAATATTTTATTCTCGCCACGATTTAATATTTTTGAGTACAGTTTGTCAGTTTTTATCACGATTAAAAATTAAAATAAATTTTGACTAAACACTGGTTATTTTTAGTACAAAGATAATTAAAAAAAAAAATTATAGACATTTATAAGTTAATTATTTATACGATAAATGCAATTTTAAGTTAAAATACTCAAAATATTTTTTAGTTTTATTTATTTTACTTTGTGCTTTCTAACAGTTTTCAGACAACAAAACACGGCATTGTAGACCCTATGTTGTCCATATGGGGTCATCAACTCTTTGTTAATGGCGATACAGATCAGTAAGTTCAAGTTACCCGATTTCAGAATCCCTAGCCAAAAAGTTTTTTTTTTTATTAAGTAACAAAGCAAACAAAGTATTGTTTTTCCCTAAACAAACCAATCTATGTTGTTTTCTTTATTATATCTTCACTTTTGTACCTCTATTGTTTCCAAACAATAATCAAATCTGAAGCAACCAATTACGTAATCTGGTAATGAATAATCTTCGTTATTTACATTGTTTGTATTGTATACCGATCCAATTACTGTAAACTACGCTTACGCTTTAGTAATTAATGGAAACTATAATTACCCCGCTGAAATATTTCATGGATAAAAATCAACTATTAATCTGTAATTTTCACTTAATTCATTTTCCATTCATTTAATATTTTCTTTTATTGCTCTCAATCATCATCTCAATCTAAAAAAGCTAATTATAAAATCCTTTATTAGTAAATTAACTTCTAAATCCACATTGTTTGTATTGTACACATTCAATTCGAAGTTCATATTTTACAATAACATATTTCACATTTAAAAAAAAATTAATTTGTAATATTTTGTGAGATACGTTATTTTAAAGTAAGATTATCAATATATTAATCTAAAGTATTGTCTTTGCACGATTTTAAAGAAATTTTGGTAAATATTTACAAGTGGGGTCAACCTATTTAATTTTTATTTTTTTGAACGAAATTTTTATTTAATTTTATTGAGATATTTTTTTTTTGAAGAATACATAATTACAAATAATTAAAAAAAAATTTTTAAAAAATTTGATTAATACAATTTTAACAAATTTTCAAAAAAATTAATAAATTTTTTAGAAAATTGTGATATTCAACTTTTTTTTAATTGTTCGTTTTTTTTATGTAAAACAATAGCATAAAAAAAAGATAAAATATAAATTTTTATTTGATTTTATATTGATATATTTTTTTTTAAAGACAAAAAAAATAAACAATTTAAAAAAAAAGTTGATTATCAGAATTTTAACAAATTTTCAAAAAAATTAATAAATTTTTTAGAAAATTGTGATATTCAACTTTTTTTTTAAATTGTTCGTTTTTTTTTTATGTAATTTTCAAAAAATTAAATTAAAAAAAGATAAAATAGAAATTTTTATTTGATTTTATTGATATATATATATTTTTTTTAATACATAAAAAAATAAACAATTAAAAAAAAAGTTGATTATCACAATCTTAACAAATTTTCAAAAAAATTTATAAATTTTTTAGAAAATTGTGATATTCAACTTTTTTTTTAAATTGTTCGTTTTTTTTTTATGTAATTTTCAAAAAATTAAATTAAAAAAAGATAAAATAGAAATTTTTATTTGATTTTATTGATATATATATATTTTTTTTAATACATAAAAAAATAAACAATTAAAAAAAAAGTTGATTATCACAATCTTAACAAATTTTCAAAAAAATTTATAAATTTTTTAGAAAATTGTGATATTCAACTTTTTTTTTAAATTGTTCGTTTTTTTTTTTTTTTTTTGTACTTTTCAAAAAAAAACTATATCAAAAACATCAAAAAAAGATAAAATAGAAATTTTATCAAAAAACATGAGAGTCAAAATTTTTTCCAACTTTTGAAGTCATAAAGCTATCAAAATTTTTATTTTTTTTTTTTCACGAATTTTTTTATCACAAATGCGCCATAAAAACAAGCAGAATAAAAAAAATAAAAATCGTTCATTTTTGACCTCGATATGGCCAAAATCGGTTTGACCCCACTTGTAAATAATTACCGAAATTATTACTTTTTAATGAAAAAAATTTCTCTTCATGAAGTTTTACCCCAATAATTAAAAATCTATATTTAATTAATTTAAACAAAGCAAAATTACAATAAAATTGTGTAAAAAACAGAGAATTAATTCTAACGCTTAATAGAACTGCAACTTAGATGCATGCACAATATAAAATTACTACTAAAATAAAATTATAGCTTAGCACTAAGTACCAATTTAACCAAACATTAAATTACTGTATTGTTCGAATTTGGTAGGTGTTAAATGTTAACCCGTTCTCTAATCAATAACTGATTTGTAAATTAATTGTTATTAAAAAATTGTTGATTTAATAAAATATTGTTTTAATTTCAGAATTTCGAAGACTATTTGTTTTAGCAATAGAGGTCATGGATTATATTTGTCATCACCAACGGAGATACAGAAGTTTAGTGTATCTAGTGAGTTCTGGTAAGAAAATAACCCATTTACTTGATCAATTACATATTTGCGAGTTACAAAGCTTAATTAATTTAAGTCGTAGTAAATTAATGAAGTAATAGTTTAAATTTTCCATTTTAAGCTCCGAGTTGACTGAAATGATGGGAGATTTATTCGTAACAGTAGATATGCCTGAACCGCCTAAAGAAAGCTTCTTTAAAGGTCTTTTTGGTGGTGGCGCACGTAGTATAGATCGTGAAGAGTTATGTAAGTATGCAGAAAAAAATATCTAATGCTTTTTTTTTATTGCTTACTTAATATGATAATAAGATAAAAATTTTATCAGTCAATGTAATTAATTTATGAACAGTAGACAAAAAAAATGAAAACTTTTGCACTGCGGTATTAAATGTTCAAACAAATAAAATGTATTTAAAGGTCCACGAACCTTCTTGCAAACAATAAAAACTTTTAGTAGCAAATGTGGCGGAAAGAAGTATGTACACTGCGGAGGAAAGTAGGTCATCTAATCCGTATTTGCTACCCTTGCCTTCAAGCAAAGTAAAACATTTCCGAATTTTATTGTTTGTACAAAAACTTAGGACTACATGTTGAACTTTAGTTAATTCAAAAGTTAATATTAAAAATTTTGACATTCTATGATTGCTTTTTATAATAAAAGTTATTTTTTATTTTAGGTAATTAATTATTGAAAGATAATTGCTGATTGTCTTGTTTAAAATTAATAGCTAATAACTGGAATTTTTATTTTTGTATCCTCAATAATCTATATTCTAAAGAGAATATAGAAAATGCTCTATCTCTAGATACATAATTAAGAAATGACCTTGTATCTTGTGAACTATTGACATTTTTAAAGATATAAGCTCATCCTGACATTATCCTCATTGAGACCTTTCATTTGAGTACCCACATCAATTTTTTATATATTTCATATATTCATATATATGTATATATGAAAATATATCAAAATACATGTAGGTACTCAAATGAAAGGTCTTGATGAGCGTAACATCAGGATGAGCTTATATCTTAAAAAATGTCAATAATTAAGAACTGACATTGTTATTTTATCAACTAATGATATTTTTAAAGATATAAGCTCACTCTGACATTACACTCATCAAGACCTTTAATTTAAGTACCCACATCAATTTTTCATATATTTATATATATATATTATATATATGTATATATGAAAAATATATAAAAATTTTTCTGATCAATTAAATCATTAAATCACTAGTTTTAATAATTTATTTGCTTAAAAGTTAATAACAATAATAATGTTCGAGACTCATAGTTGATACCATTTTTTGTCTTTGTATTTGAGCATAAGCCCATGAGCTGAAGAAGCAAAATTTTCTGATTCATTCATCATCCGTGCTGTTCTTTCTTCTAACTGTGATAATTTATCGCCACGTTCCATCACCATTTGATGTGCCATCGCAACTTCACCTGTTGCCGTTGAAACTCGTTCACGCATTGCTTCAGTACTTGCATTAGGTCCTGGTATATGCTTAGCTATTGTACGTGATGCACGTCCACTGGATTCACCAACTACAATTTAAAATTTTTTATTTTTAGTCACTGAATTAATGTTTAAGCTATGTTTAACAACTAGCAACTTACAGTCACTATATGTGACTGTAGAGATTTATAGATTATAAATAAGAAAATTTTAGCTTAATAATTTTTTGGTATTTTTAATTACACCATACACAGTCTGGGTACTTTCTTGAAAAATTTAAAAAATAATAGTGCTATTACAGGATAAATTATAAATAATTTTATGAACAAATGTGACGGAACAAATTTATAGAATCAATTAACTATTCAAAACTGCTCCAAAAAATTGATTTAATTTAAAAAACTAATTTTATTATATAAATACTCCGAACACAAAATTTTCTTCATTCTCTTAATTATATAGACTAGCAACCTTGTAGTCACTATGTGACTGCCGTGACTTGTGAATTATACATAAATAAAAGTTTGCTGTATTAAATAATGACTTTTGTTAAATTGCACTGTACTCTCTTAAATATTGAAGTTTTTGAAGATATAAGCTCATCCCGATGTTGCACTCATCAAGAGCTTTCATTTGAGTACCCACATCAATTTTTCATATATTTCATATATTTATTATTCATATATATATGAAAAATTGATGTGGGTACTCAAATGAAAGCTCTTGATGAGTGCAACATCGGGATGAGCTTATATCTTCAAAAACTTCAATATTTAAGAGAGTACAGTGCAATTTAACAAAAGTCATTATTTAATACAGCAAACTTTTATTTATGTATAATTCACAAGTCACGGCAGTCACATAGTGACTACAAGGTTGCTAGTCTATATAATTAAGAGAATGAAGAAAATTTTGTGTTCGGAGTATTTATATAATAAAATTAGTTTTTTAAATTAAATCAATTTTTTGGAGCAGTTTTGAATAGTTAATTGATTCTATAAATTTGTTCCGTCACATTTGTTCATAAAATTATTTATAATTTATCCTGTAATAGCACTATTATTTTTTAAATTTTTCAAGAAAGTACCCAGACTGTGTATGGTGTAATTAAAAATACCAAAAAATTATTAAGCTAAAATTTTCTTATTTATAATCTATAAATCTCTACAGTCACATATAGTGACTGTAAGTTGCTAGTTGTTAAACATAGCTTAAACATTAATTCAGTGACTAAAAATAAAAAATTTTAAATTGTAGTTGGTGAATCCAGTGGACGTGCATCACGTACAATAGCTAAGCATATACCAGGACCTAATGCAAGTACTGAAGCAATGCGTGAACGAGTTTCAACGGCAACAGGTGAAGTTGCGATGGCACATCAAATGGTGATGGAACGTGGCGATAAATTATCACAGTTAGAAGAAAGAACAGCACGGATGATGAATGAATCAGAAAATTTTGCTTCTTCAGCTCATGGGCTTATGCTCAAATACAAAGACAAAAAATGGTATCAACTATGAGTCTCGAACATTATTATTGTTATTAACTTTTAAGCAAATAAATTATTAAAACTAGTGATTTAATGATTTAATTGATCAGAAAAAAAAAATTTTTTTTGGAATGAAAAATAATATAATTCAATGACAATTTATTACGCACACGAAATATCAAACAAAACCGAAGTAATGAATAATTGCATAAAAATATATTTAGAAAAAAAAAAAAAAAAAAAAAAAAAACAGGAAATAGTAGATGATAAAAAATGTACTCAAATTAATATTATTAAACTAAAAATTGATATATTAATACACATATACATATATCGGTATATGTATATAAAAATACTTATACACACATATGTATATGGGTATAGCTCTTAACCGTTGTTAACCCTTATTCTTATTAAAAAAAAGTAAAATAAAATAAAATAACGAAAAAAAATACCAAAAAAAAAAAAATTAAATAAATATATTTAAAAAATAAAAAAAAAAGTTGAAAGATATTTGTGGAGAGCAAAACATATGAAATAAATACTTTGTATATACATAAGTATATATGTATATATATATAAGTATATATACAAAGTAGCGGTGATAAATTTTAACAAAACAAAGTTTTTAATGATACAATTTTATTAAATGAAATTACAACGGACAAAAACAAATATATAGTAATATTCAGTTCAGCTAATATAATATGTAAAGGTAATTATTCGTTAAAATAAATTATGGCTTTGCGGCATTTGAGTAAGCCGGATTTAAAGAAAATGAAAACAAACAAATTTTGTATGTTCCAAATAATATTTAATGCTGTAATTAGGAAATTTATTTATTTACTACTATTGTTGTTGTTGTTAATAATGTACTTGGGAAAAAAAGATCAGGTTTAATGGGATGAAATTATGCATTTCCTTCAATGAGTGAATTGTAATACAGTTATATAAAATAGCAGTCCAGGGTACACTTATATATGCTCATACTATACTTGAATTTTTATTATGACCACATCTAGTCAGATCTAATCACACGCATACGCAGTTATTAATTTAAACTGAAATTTATTATTTGTTAGAGTTTTTTATTCTTACTCTTACCATCAATTTTCACATAAATGGAAAATATTGTATAGATATGAACAAGGTGAATTTTTCCGTATTAGATATTTTTACCGCATTTATAAAGTGAAAACTATTTTTTAATATGTAGTGAATTTTATTTTTGTCGGATGAATGTTAAAAAAATTATTTATCATTTATGAAACTTGTAAATTGATAGTTTCATTTAATTACGATATCATAAGGGTGAATAATAAAAATTCTATTATTTTTTCTAAGTCCAAAAAAATTTTTTCTCCAAACTAAAAATTATTTTTGGACTTAGAAAAAAAAATAGAATTTTTATTATACACTGAAAAAAAAATTCACTTGATTCAAGAGGAAAATTCTTGAACTATGAAAATAATTTTGAAGAGGGTAATTCTCTAGAATCAAGATGAAAAATTCTTAAATCAAGTAAAATTTACTTAAACCAAGTCAAAATTTCTTAGTTTAAGAATTTTTTTACTCAAATCAAGAAGATAAAGTTCTTCAAAACTATACACTTGATTCAAGAACATTTTTTTAATTTCAAAATATTTTTAATTTTTTAGTCAAATCGAGCTTACCAAAAGTTGCTTTGTTTAATTTTAATATACCTACATTTTTTGATAATGAAAATATGCTTAAAATATCCATTGGTGTGTGTACCTTACATAGTTTCCTCTATGCCTTTTTATGAAAAATAAAAATTATTGTAAAAATTTAAGTATTTAACTTGAAAGTATAATATTTGATAATGTCATTTGTTAAAATTTGTCTATCATTCGAGTATTAGAAAATTTCATTAGACCAATCAACCATAAAGAATTTAAAAATGTTATTATTATAATAATTTTTTTTTTCTTTTAATAAAAATTGCTTTTTGTAAACTCAATTTTAAGTCATAGGATATAAAAATATGGCACTTAAAAAAAACACTGGCTTTGATTATTGAAAATATAGTTGTGTACAAGTTTTAAATTATGTACTAAATTTGAGTTGCCTAACGCATTCATAGTAAATTTATTTTTTTTTTATTTATAAAAAAAAATTAAAAAAAATAAATAGTAAATTTATTGTAAAAGCTCTCTTGATACAAAAAAAAAGACTTATTTTTCTTGCATCAGATGCAAAAACTACTATATGTTACTAAGAAAGAACGGAATTTTGGCACTTGACTCTCAACTATAAGGCTTCATCTTAAAATTCATAACATAATATTTATGAAACAATATTTAACTCTTCGGTACTCGGTTGTGATAAAGCCTGCTTCAAAGAAAACTATACACTTGATTCAAGAACATTTTTTTAATTTCAAAATATTTTTAATTTTTTAGTCAAATCGAGCTTACCAAAAGTTGCTTTGTTTAATTTTAATATACCTACATTTTTTGATAATGAAAATATGCTTAAAATATCCATTGGTGTGTGTACCTTACATAGTTTCCTCTATGCCTTTTTATGAAAAATAAAAATTATTGTAAAAATTTAAGTATTTAACTTGAAAGTATAATATTTGATAATGTCATTTGTTAAAATTTGTCTATCATTCGAGTATTAGAAAATTTCATTAGACCAATCAACCATAAAGAATTTAAAAATGTTATTATTATAATAATTTTTTTTTTCTTTTAATAAAAATTGCTTTTTGTAAACTCAATTTTAAGTCATAGGATATAAAAATATGGCACTTAAAAAAAACACTGGCTTTGATTATTGAAAATATAGTTGTGTACAAGTTTTAAATTATGTACTAAATTTGAGTTGCCTAACGCATTCATAGTAAATTTATTTTTTTTTTATTTATAAAAAAAAATTAAAAAAAATAAATAGTAAATTTATTGTAAAAGCTCTCTTGATACAAAAAAAAAAGACTTATTTTTCTTGCATCAGATGCAAAAACTACTATATGTTACTAAGAAAGAACGGAATTTTGGCACTTGACTCTCAACTATAAGGCTTCATCTTAAAATTCATAACATAATATTTATGAAACAATATTTAACTCTTCGGTACTCGGTTGTGATAAAGCCTGCTTCAAAGGACGCACTAAAAATTAATGTACAATTATAAAATCAGTAATGTTAGTTTTTGAATATATTCAGCAATAATAATATGAAAAAATATATATTAGCCGAAAAAATGACACCCTAAAGCGAATTAAAAAAAAAAAAAATTTTTTTCATAGTCCGAGTACTAAAGTACTAGTCAAAATAAAATTATAAAAAAATATTGTTTATGCCGTAAAACATTATCACACAACAATAGTAGTAATTTTATATTAAAAAGTTACAGTCAATCGAGGTAACTTTGAATTTTTAGGGTAAGACAACCACAAATAACTTTGGGACGTAAATTTGATGGTAAAATTATATCTGAGTGCAATTTTAAAAGAAGACTACAATTATTAATTAATATTAATCGACCAAAATTACTCTGATTGACTGTAAATAATCTTTTTAAATAAATATCATTGTATTTTACTTTATAATATTTTTTTTTTTGACAATATTATAAGTAATAATCACAAATTATTTATAATAAAACAAATATCGTTATTGTATGAATTTTAGATTATATATTAGCAATTATAATGATAGTCATGATTATTGTTATTATTTGACATATTTATTAATGTAGATATGTATACAGTCGTATGCACACGATTTTAAACAAAAAAAAAAAAGAGAAAAAAGAAAAAAAATTTTAATGAAAATAGAGACAATTTTACCACATAAAAAAACAAAGTCTATAAATATATGTGAAAAGATATAAAGATTGTATATGAAGTCAATATATGAAATCTTTTGTTTATTTATTTAAGAGATATACATATTTATTTTTTATCATCAATCAAAATGTTATTTTTAATTTTTGTTATTTACTATCGTTACTGTTACACTCTATCATAATTGTTAATTTAAATGCTCGTAGTTGATTCATTCGGACGTCCCTGTGCAGATAATCAACACTTTATAAAAAATGATTATTATGAGATTGCAAAAAATGGTCTAGATAAAAGTAGATTTATATTAATCTATTTATTTCATTTTAAAGATCAACTGTGGAGGTAATTAGATTTACGTTGATCAAAAAATGAAACAATGTTGATTACCTAGCTCTACTCTACATTGATTTTATCTTGAATGTTATCATGTATAATTAAAGATGAAACGTCGCTAAAAATTAAATAAGTATTTTATTAATACCGAAACCATTCTCCTAATATTTATTTATTTGATTATAATTATTATTATTATTGTAGTTGATGTAATTTTATTTATAAAAAAAATTTTTAATTAATTTGTAATATTAGTAGTATTCATACAAATTAAGGTAATTATTTACAAGTAGGGTCAAACCTATTTTTGGTCATATCTGGGTCAAAAATTAACATTTTCAAATTTTTTTTTGATTTTTTGCTTTCAAAAATTGGAAAAAATTTTGGCTCTAATGTTTTTTGATAAAATTTATATTTTAACTTTTTTTGATATATTTTTTTTGACAAGTACATAAAAAAATGAACAATTAAAAAAAAAAAAGATGAACATCACAATTTTCTAAAAAATTTATAAATTTTTTTGAAAATTTGTTAAAATTGTGATAAATAATTTTTTTTTTTAATTGTTTATTTTTTTATGTATTTTTCAAAAAAAAAAAATCAAAATAAAAAAAAAATTACAATTTCTTTGTAATTTTCAAAATTACAATAATCAAAAAATTAATATTTTAATTAAAAAATCATTTTTGAAAGTTGGAAAAAATTTTGGCTCTCATATTTATTTATTTATTTTTTTATTTATTCAAACGCCAATCGGCTTTATACATTAGGTTTATATCAATTAAATTTAATTTTAGGTGAAAAAAGAAAATAAAAAAAAAGCATTAACATTTCATTAGAATTAAATTAATTTCATTTACTTTATAAGTTAAAATTATTAGCAT